CACCTATTTCCCAGGAACAATGTTTAAAGATGGTTTCTCAATTTTACTATGCTTTGATTCTAGATGTTTAGTCGATGTTCTACTCCGTGTACTGCCAAGAACTTGTATAACAGTTGATATTTTGTCTAATGTGTTCAGACCATCCACTAAATAATATCTGTAACATCTGGTGATGGCTAGGATTAGCGCATACATTATTTGGAGCTGGTTACATCTGCTTAGGATCACTTCCACTTTCACCCATCAACAGGACAAGATACTTTCAAGCAATGACCTCTGCTTGAGGAATAGAACACAGGAAAGCTTCTATGCTGTGTCCATTTTCCTCAATATTTGGAGACTCATCAGCTGGGAGGAGATCTTCGTACATCTGCATGCTTTCCATTGTGTCCTCCTCACCAGCTCTCACCTATACGCAGTGGGAGGCTCATTTCTGCCCAGTCCCTGAGCCAGTGTGACCACAGTCAAAACATATCTGGCTCATAATATAGAATTAGAAAAAGATGTTCAACAATGAAGCACAGCTCACATGAACTCACGGAGATTGAAGCAGCAATCACGGTGCCTACATAGGTCTGCACCAGGTCCTCTGTATATATACTGTAGCTTTCAGTTAGTACTTTTATGGAATTCCTGAGTGTGTAAATGAGTGGGTCTCTGATTCTTGTGCCTTCTCTCAGGGCTTTTATTTTTCTGTTGGCTTGGCTTGTCTAACTTCCATATGATGATTTCATTTTATCTTATTATATTTTATTTTGTTATGTTTGGTTGTTATCTCTTAGAAGCCTGCGCTTTTCTAATGAGAGACATGAGGATCTGGATGGGAGAGGAGGTAGGGAGGAACGTGGAGGAGGAGAGGGAGGAGAAACTGTATTCTGATTATATTTTATGAGAGAAAAATCTATGTTTAATAAAAAGGGGCAAAGAGGGTTGGGGATTTAGCTCAGTGGTAGAGCACTTGCCTAGCAAGCACAAGGTCCTGGGTTCGGTCCTCAGCTCTGAAAAAACAAACAAACAAACAAACAAACAAACAAAAAGGGGCAAAGAAATAATGTTTGAGATATAGTAGAGGCCAAATTTGTGTCCGTGTGATCAGTAAATTGCAGTTACTGTTCAACAATGGAAATGTTTCTCAGGGGGTAATTTTATTTATCCCTTTGATTATCTTGATTATTAAATATGAACGTAAGTCAGACCCTGGCTATTGACCACAAGAGAGAATGGAGTGGGAAAAAATGTTTGAAAGATTAGAAAGGTGTTATAACTCCAGCAATTGAATCCTTCTCCCCTCTGCACCCCCAAACCACTCTTTCTCTGTTTCTGTCCAGAAAGGGGTCGGCCATCCATGGGTGTCAACAAAGCATGGCACATCAAGTTGCAGTAGGACTAAGCTCCTCCCCTTGTGTTAAGGCTGGACAAGGCAACCCAGCATGAGGAATAGGTTCCCAAAAGCCAGCCAAAGCGTTAGAGACAGCCTCTGTTCCCACCGTTAGGAGTCCCACAAGAAGATTAAGCTACACAATTGTCACATATATGTAAAGGGCCTAGGTAAGTCCCATGTAGACTCCCTAGTTGTTGGTTCAGACTCTGTGAGCACCTATGAGGGCTGGTTAGTTGTTTCTGTGGGTCTTCTTATGATGTCCTTGACTGGTTTGTACAATCCCTCTTCAGCAGGATTTCCTGAGCTCTGTCCAGTGTTTAGCAGTGGTTCTCTGCATCTGTTTCCATCAGTTACTGGATAAAAGCTCTTTGATGACAAATGGGATAGTTACCAATGTATGAGTATAGCAGAATATCATTAGGCATCTTTATGTTGACATTGTTTTCTCCAGTCATGTTTGGTTCTATCCTAGGTCTCTGGACCATCCAGCCTCTGGGGTCCTGGCACTCCAGGCAGTGCCAGGGGTGGGTTCACCCTCATGGTATGGGTCTGAGGCTGAATAAGTCACTGGTTGACCATTCCCACAATCTCTGTGCCACCCTTACCCCAACACACACACGGACCTTCATGTAGATTCAAGTTGGATGTCTGTTTCATTTTATTTTTCTCCAAACAACTTCTGTTATATTTCTTAAAGGGTAAATTATTCAGAAGCAAACTACCTTTATTGTTTATCATAGAAACTATTTATTTTGTGCATTTTTTCTTGCTTAATTGTTCATTTTTCTTACAATGATTAAAGTAGATATTATTTTGGAGCAGTTTAAGTCACAGCAGTGTTGTATGGAAATTGCCCATTTATTCTCTGCCCCACCCCTGACATGCATAGCCTTCAGATTATCAACAGCCTGAACTACAGATGTCTACAGATGTACCTAGAGACATCATTATTGTTCACATTCCACAGTGTGTTTCACTGTCGTTGGTTTTTGTGTTTGCTATCATACATAAAAAAATGCCAAGAGCAACATCAAAGTTCCCCATGTTCAGTTAATATTTACATTTGATGTGGGATATGGGTCTCTCTCTACCCTTCTGCATGTACATATCCAGTTTCCCCAGGACAAAGAAATAAAAGGCAACCTCTGCTTTTGAGAGACTTGATAATACGGACATAATACCCTCAATACACAAGCAACAGCAGAAAAGTGTCAGAACTGATGAAAGAGCTGATCTAACTTACAAGATACAAATACATTAAAAAAAAACTATCTCCAAAGTCACCCAACTATCAGGGAAAAAAATATAATACCACTGTTTCATGCACAATAGAATAAAAAGAACAAAGTATCTTGGGATAAAACCAAATGAACAGGTAAAAGACCTGCATATAGATACCATAAAACCTTACAGTTCTTTTTATAATTTTGCCTCAGCAAATGAGCTTTTAAAAGAACCACCTTTTTAATACCCTTCCTCCCTTTTAGTATATGAAAGTGTGTAGCTGATCTAGTTTCTTGGGGAAAAATTAATTCCTACTGACTTTGTAGTGAGAGTCTAATGTTTTACTCAACAAATTTTATTTAAAATTGCTATGCCATGAAAGAAAGTGATATTAATGTGTCATCTTTTTCTTAGACAGCAAAAGAAGCCACCAACATTTGTCTTTACATTCACTGTATTCTCTACTGATGAAGAGTCACACCGTGTAGAGGCACAAAGGCATATTTAAAAGAGAGAAAGAAACTGTTTAAGGAAGATAGGTCTGGTGAGAAGGGAGCACCTTGTCACAGGGGAGATGATGAGAGGTGAGAAAATATTCATGGTGGGGAGACTCATCATAAGAAACCTATTTGTGGTTGTATTTTTCCTGTGATGTAGCTACAGGCTCTAAATCCTTCGTGGCAGATGACAACTGGTCGTGGACAGGGCCTCAGAGACCGTTACACTACCCATACGCACTTAACTGCAGAAAAAATGAACAGCCAGAGTGAACCCTCTGAAGTCATCCTGGGGACTCCTTCCTCCTGCTCTACTGAAACACTTTGCTCATAGACTATGCAAAGGAGCAAATGAGAATAACAGTGCTGGGGTTTCTTTCATAAGAATTTAACAGCAGATTCCACACTGGTGCTCCTGGGTCCTCAAGTCAAGACTGTGAGGAAGGGAACACCATCCCCACAGGGTTGAAAATGTACTATCTAGAGCACTAGGTGGCCCGAATTAAGACACAAATCAAACAGGCAGGAGGAATATGATTCAAGCAAAGGCCACATGACTCCTGCTCCAATCATCTCTTCCCTGGGTACGAATAGAAAATTCAGGCATGGAGAGTAGAGCTGAGTTGAATAATTAAATATAATATGGAGCCTATGACTCTGGGGTATATATAGAACATTGTGGAATAATGTTTTAATTCATGTTCTTTGCAGTGTAATTTTTTTTTTACTTCAAAAGCCCTAAACCCATCAATACCAACAGGTAGACTCAGCCACGAATAGCAACAGGCCAACTGAAGATAAGGAGTCGTGAGATGCAGAGAAAGTGTATTGAGTCAATGCATACTGGGAAGAGGATCAGACAAAGGAATCCAGTGACCACATGTTTATCTGTAGGGTACAAATATGAGACTGGGGTCTAAATAGAGAAATATGTGGGCCAAGAAGATCACATTATTAAGCAAGCCAAGTCAAGGTGTGGTCCAGCTATCATTGTCTCAGCTCTAGTCCTGCAATGTGAGCCCATAAATTGTTAATCTGCCAATAATGGTCTTCTTGGGAGATCAGTGTGGGTATAAATGTAGTGTCATCATTGTAGATAATATTTCACATTTTGGTGATAGTCTTTCATGTCTTTGCTGCTCTTGGAATCCAAGCTGACTAGAGGTTTAAAACAAGGATTCTCTGTATCTCCAGCCTATGCAACCTGTGCAGAGTCAACAGGTGAAGGAGAGAGAGAAGAATGGTGGCAAACATGCAAGGCTTTCATCTAGCTTTAATCGCTTTGTAGAGCAAAGTGGGAAATCAATCACTTCAGCAAAAGGAGCATCTGAGTGTCTTTTACAATAAGAATCATTCCATTGTCTTCTGAAGTTCTGAAGTGAAAGTAGGGGCTATGGGTAGTTTCAATCTCAGCTTAGAAGGCTTCATATGGGTAGGCTTCTCGGATTAGCCTTAACAGGAACTTCTTCTCCTCATCTTCATTTCCATTTTCTACTCTCTAAGCCTCGGTGGCAAAACCACCATCATTGCTCTCACTCACTGAACCTCCAATGGCAAGCATCCATGTGCTTCTTCCTTGAGCACCTCTTCTTCCCATACCTCTGCTTCACCGGTAGCACTGTGCCCCAGCTCCTGATCAACCTTTCCCAAGTTGATCAGACTATCAGCTATGCTGGGTGTGTAGCTCAGCTCTTCATAGCATTATTGCTGGGTGTAACTGATTATGTGTTCCTTGTGGCTATGGCTTTCATTGCCACAGTGTGCATCACTGATAGCAGGAAACCAATCTGGTTCCTATCAGATGATGTACTGCACAGTGGAGCCAATCCACTGAGATAATTGGGTGATAATCTATCCTGCTTGTAGGTCCTGCGGTTCCTGGAATCCAACCTGACTGCAGGTTTAGAACAAGGAATCTTTGAGTCTTCAGCCTGTGACACCTAGGCAGAGAGTCAACAGGAGATAGACCAGAAGGAAGGCAAATGTGCCAGGATTCCTACAGCTTTGAGTGACGCTGTGGGCTGAAGTGACTTCAGAGTGCCCCCTACGATAGCAAGCATTGAATTGTCTTCTGTTTTGTGAGGCTGAAGGGCTATGGACAGTTTCAACACCAGCCTAGAAGGTGGCTTCATTTTAATGGGCTTCTCAGATTGGCCTCAACTGGAGCACATCTTTTTTATCTTCATTTTAATTTTCTACTTCCTAACCATCTTTGGCAACTCCACCATCATCACAATCTCACGAATGGATCGTCGGCTGCAAACGCCAATGTACTTCTTCCTCAACAACCTCTCTTTCCTGGACCTCTGCTACACCACCAGCACTGTGCCTCAGCTTCTTGTCAATATTTCTGGACTTGACAAGACCATGAGCTATGCTGGGTGCATGACCCAGTTCTTCACAGTGCTCTTGCTGGGGGGGACTGAGTGTGTGCTCCTCGTGGTAATGGCTTTCGACCGCTATGCCGCTGTGTGCCATCCACTGCACTACACTAGCATCATGCACTCCCTTCTCTGCCAGGCATTGGCCATCTCCTCCTGGGTGGGAGGCCTTGCGATCTCCCTGACTCAGACAGGCCTCATCATGACCATACCTCTCTGCGGCCGTCATCTGAACCACTTCTTCTGTGATATGCTTGTTCTCCTGAAGCTGGCTTGTGAGGACACAGAGGGAATAGAGGACAACTTGTTTGTGGCTGGAGTCATAATGTTGGCCTGTCCTGTAACACTAATTCTAGGCACTTATGCACACATTGCTCACGCGGTGCTGAAGATTAAGTCAGAGGCTGGGCGCAGAAAGGCTCTGGGGACTTGTGGGTCCCACCTCATGGTGGTTTGCCTTTTTTATGGCTCAGCCATGTACACATATCTCCAACCTGTCCATGGGTATTCTGAGAGTGAAGGAAAGTTTGTTGCCCTTTTTTATACCATAGTTACCCCCATGCTCAACCCTCTGATTTACACCCTGAGGAACAAGGATGTGAAGGGGGCTCTGTGGAAGGTGCTAGGGAAATGAATAGACTAGGAATAAGAGGAGAAAGGTGTCTGGATAAAATATTGTATAGTGTCTCTCACACTGTCAAGAATTCTGTACCCAACATACTTTCCCTTAGAAGTGAGACATAAAGAATTTTGTGGGATGGGGGCAAGTCTGACTGAATATATTTCCACAGGGACTTTCAAACAAGAATTGTATTTTTTAATGGTGTTCTTCAAACTGAGGAAAAAATAGACATAGCTAAAAATAATTATAAAATTTCAGAATGCTCTAGTATCATAAACAGTACATAAGCCACCCACATCTCTATAAAGACTAAAACACAAAACAACTAAAAAGAAATACCACACTAAGAAATAAGCAATATAAAATATGTAAATTATAGTAGGAAAGATTTAAAATGTGTGTTGTTTTATGTTAGTATATTTCCTTTCATTTTTCTTATCTTCATGTTTATGTCATGTTACTCTCACATCAGAAGTTTGTCCTAATCAAAAGATGTTTCTTAAGGTTCATGGTAACTAACCACAGACTTGTAGCACAAAAACTTCTGAAGATAATAAACACTCACAACTACAGAAAATCACTAAAGAACAAGTGTGAACATAAGAGACAGAGAGAGAAGAGAACTCTAACACAAGACAGTTATAAATGCTTATCTGTAGTTACTGTTGTTACTGATGACTTATTGAATGCTTATTATTGAATGGATAAAAGTAAATATTTAAGATATCCAAACATATATTTCTTTGAGAAACTTGCTTCTTCTAAGAACATGAGAAGTAAGAGGAAGACTAAGGTATTTCATGCACAGCAGGCATGGTGGTGTACACATGTGATCCCAGCACATGAGTGGCTGAGATGGGAAAACAGAAAGTGCAAGAATATGCCTCCAGAAATGAAAAAGAATGAGTAATTCTTTTACTTTGTAATGACATGTAATGATGAAAGAGGCAATTCAGCACAAGAAAATGACTCAAAATGCATGCATTCAATATCAGAGCATCCAGATACATAAAGAAAAAAATCACTAGATAGAAAATGAGAGAGTCCAATTTAATGCAGTGTTTTAGGGGACTTTCACACTCTACTTGCATCAGTGGACAAAGTATCAGGAGAGGAAATAAGTTAAATTACATGCTAGAACAAATAGACATAGCAGATTTTGTGCTACAGTAGGTAGTATTTTGGTTTGGTTTTTTCTCAAGAGGATAGGAAACAGATTTGGGGATATTATATGAGAAACCATGAAACAGGGCTCATCAAAAATTTTTATATGTCTTTATTTTTACTTTATGCATAAGAGTGTTTTGCTGACACATATGTGTGTACATCATATGTGTACCTGTCGTCCATGAGGCAAAAAAAGGGTGTTAGATTCCCTGGAACTGGCTAATGCGTGTTACCATGTGGGTGCTGGGAATGGAAACCAGGTGTTCTGCAAAAGCAGCAAGTGCTCTTAACCACTGAGCTCTCCACCCCTCCACAAATTTTTTAATGAAATCATATTAGATATTGTCTAACATGTGACAAAACTAGAAATCAATAACAAGAAAAGCTATGGTAAACAGACCAATGCTTGAGAATTAAACAACTCACTTTTAACAATCAATGGAATAAGGAGGAAATCAAAAAAGAAATTTTTAAGTATCCTGAAACAAATAGCATTGGAGAAATTACCCAAACCTGTGTTATAATCAAAATAGTACACATACACATACACACACACACACACACACACACACACACACATACACTCAAACATGCATATGCACACAGACCACACAGACACACACATATTACACACACCATACACAACACAATACACACAAACTATACAAAAAGGCAAAAGACCTCAATAGACATCCCTCAAAAGGATACATACACATGGCCAAAAGGTAAGTGAAAATATGCTCAATATCACTAATTAAATTAAATCAATATGCCTTTGACAGTAAAAGTAGCTAAACAGACAGCCTGTGAAGTTTTCATCAATGGCAAACCTAAATTCAATGGGAACCTGTGACTCAATTTATCTTTCCCTTGGTGTTCCCATGTTTCTCTGGAATAACTTCAGGGTAGCCTGAGAGCCAGAAGGAAAATGCCTTTAGGTGCACCTTTTGGAGGAGGCATGCTAACAGGCAACTCTGAGCCCTGTGACCTCTAAAGCTCTAGACAAGGCCTGACACTCCTCATGACCTCATTCCGCCCTTTAAGTATTCCACGCTGCAAAATAAAGCTGCTCTCGTGTCCCCCTAAATGGAACCCAGAGAGTCTGTGTGTCCCTCTGCACAGTCGTTTTTCACTGCTCTTCTCTTCCAGAAATTCCAAGCTTTAGCTTTTACTGTGCTGGCTGCAGCAAATGATGACATGGAGGTTCTACAAAAAAATAAATAAATAAAGTTAGAGCTGGCCTATAATCTACCAACCCCGCACTGGAAATGCACACAAAGGGAATGAGACAGATACTGATCTCACTGCCTGGGGGTCCCCTAAACAGTCCAAGCTAAACAATTGTCTCACCTATGCAGAGGGCCTAGTCCAGTCCCATGGGGGCTCCACAGCTATCAGTCCACAGAACAGATTTTTTTTAATGTAACATAGATACACAATGTGTGAAGGCCCACAAAGTTTTCCTAGTGAGAGCTGAGCTTGCTTTACCCAGCAGGGATGCATTAGAATATTGCTTGACTATGTGCATGGTTGCTAGGTAATTGGGAGGGTCTATACTTGGCTGAGCTAGGGGGAGATCTTTTGCTCCACCCCTTGGCATTCCTATAAACAGCCCTTTAAAAGGGACAGAAGGAGCCGGTGGATAATGGGGGCCAGGCCCTCCCAAGGCTATGTTTCTATCTGTTTCTCTCCCCTCTATCCTTCTATCCAATATCTCTTATCCCTCATTTCTCAAGAGTACCCTGTTGTAAAATGTGGGAGCTGGTGAATGCTATTGAGTCACAAAAACAAATCCTGTTATTTTTCACTAAAAAGTGTATCAGAGAGTCTCGAACACCCTATCTTCTCATTCACACATGAAGTTGGCTTCATATAAGAAGCAAGCAGTGGGAGAGATGGCTCAGAAGTTCAGAGAACTGGTTGTTCTTCTATAGGATCTGGGTTCAGTTCCCAGCACTCACATCCAGCTCACAACCATCTGAAACTCCAGTTCCAGGGGATCCGATGTCTTCTTCTGGCCTCCATAGGCACTGCACACACAAGGTGCACATACATGCATACATACATACATGTGTGCAAATAGTCATATGTATAAAATAAAATATTTCTCAAAGAAGTATCAAGCAGAAAAATCATCAGCAGATAGAATGGGGGGCATCAAAGTCAAATAGTGTGGAAATATGTATTAGGAAATTTTTCTCATAATTTATAGCCTAGGGGGATGATTATGTATTAAACAATGCATTGTGTATTTCAAAATTACTAGAAGAGAAGAGTTTGAAGATTCCAAATAAGAGTGTTTTTCTGGCACAAAGGTAACTTGCCCGTCAGGAGCCAAGTAATGCCACAAAAATCCTACTGCGCAACAAACTTCACATAAGAGATTTATTGGTGAGTGGCACAGAGTGGCAGCTGCCTTTGAATGGGGAGAGAGACAGGAGGAGGCTGGACAGAGGAGAAGGCCTTTTATAGGGTTTTGGAGTGTGCACAGTGAGCTAGTGGGAAAGTATTGCTTGGCTGCCAACTTTATTTAGCCATTAACACTGAACCACAGGGGTGGGGATTTCTAAAGCTCAGAACTTGGGGTCAAGAGATCAAGTCAGAGACAGGATGTTCTTTCCTTGGCCCTTTTTCGCTACGCCAAATATATATAAACAAAAAAATATGAGGAAATGAAAATATAAATTACCCTGGGTAGATGAGTCATATTGAATGCCCATATTACAATGTTCCCAAAATTGTACAATTATAAAATAAAAATTAAAAGTAAAAATCATCAAACTACACTTAAAATCTATCTCCCACATAAATGGAAAGAAAATTCATCAAAATGTGATCCTATGATGTGGGCCTTTTCCTACAGAGACATGACCACAGAATGTATATTCACCATAAGTAGAGAACCAACAACAGATCAATAAAATGATTTCATCTAAGTCTAGGTTAAGGAACCAGTGAGTTTACTGAAGCTGCTTACAGTAGTATGGGTCAGGGGTTATTTACAGGAGCACACATGACTTAAAGGCAACTGTATCACCTTTCATGCTCAAGCTTTCATGAGAAATTACTTATAAAGGCTGTAGCTTCTTATACTTCTTGTAGGCAGCTGCTCATTGGAGACTTCCCACTCTGCAGCCATCTTTACTGCTTATACAAACCTAGAGAGGGGCCTTGTGAATCTTGTCACTTTCGGGAACATCCTGAGTCTTGCAAGTTGTATTACTTTCTGGGCCTTGATGCTTTGTTTACTTCCCAAGTCTTATGAGCCTTCTACCACCCTCTAGGAGAGGATGTTTCAAATCAAGTGAAATGACTACACAACATCCTGAACGTGATATAGGAAAAAATATGAGTTTAAAACAAAAATGCCAAAGAGAAAGGGATGGAGAGATATCTTGTGGTAAGAAAATATATGGAGCTCAACAGACATTGAGCTAGTGCTAAAAAAAAAAGTGGATAGTTTACCTGGGACTTGTAGTAAGATTGTAAACCCAGCTCCCCTGGGAGCTGAGGTGACAGGACAGTAATCCAAGGCCTTGTGTGGCTTATACTGAGAGTTGAAAACCATTTTGGGCAACTTAGACCTCATTTCAAAATAAAAGCTTAGAAGACTATCGATGGTAGAGCATTTGCCTAGCATGGGCAAGACCCTAGGTTTAATCAAGGTGGGGGGGGGGAGGAGGAAAAGGAGGAGGAGAGGGAAGAAGGAAGAAAGAAAGAGGAAAAAAGAGAAATGGGAGAAAAAGAAAGAGAAAGAAGAAGAAACTCTGCTTCCAGAAGTCATGACTTGACAGCTCTCATCCATCATGCTGGACTAGAAACACTGAATCCATGAGCCAAATAAATTCCTCCTACTTAAGTTGTTCAGGCAGGTATTACAACAGCAGAAAGACCAACTAACACACGTGTATAACCACAGGTGTGCACGTGCGTACATTCCCACAGCCTCATTTTATTCTACAGAAATGTGTACCAAGTTGTTGCTGGAAACTCACTTTACTCATTCACGCCCTGGTCTAGACCTAGGAGGGGTCGCTGGGTAAAACTGAAAGATTAACATGAACTCCCTGTTTCCACTGTCCTTTTCTTTCTTTCCATCTTTTTTTCAGTCACTGACACTCTGTTAAAATTCAGAAAATGAATAATATTCTACCAGATAATTAATGCTGAGCTCCCTTGTATTTGT